AATCAAAGATCGAGTTTTCTTATATTAATTAGTTTTACACTCAATTACTCACATATTCCAAATAATCTTACCTACACGATTATTACTTTTGGAAAAAAAATGTCTAACCTGCACGATACTTATTTGAGTTTGCACGATTTGTTTTGTTTTTTTCAGATATCTTTAACGAAAAATACGAAATTCAATTTCATACTATGATTTTCAACTTGTCAATCTATATACTTGAAGCCTGAATTTGCACTATTGTTGAATTAATGATACTTTTCCACCCTTCACTATTATTTGGAACAGGAGAATAGACGAATATAATTCCGAGAATTTTGGGGATAGTTTTAAGAATTTTATTTTATGCTAGCCGATATATTATCAAATAATAATGTATTCTTTCTTAAACATTCATAGACGACAGTTTTATTGTTTCCTAAATAGAGAGCAAATATCCGGTCCGTTCGTAGTTTCATATTGCTCCTGCTGATGTTAGACAGTTTTAAGAAATTTTCAAGTAATAATCGTACCAATTTTAGTTAACCTGCAGCCATTGGCTAAAGGTACAGCAGAATTAATTACCCCTTTGTCGTTTAAGACATTGCACAATATTTACACATACTTGTAAGCTGGGAGGGGGTTGTGATCGAACCCCTATATTGCACCATATATGTATAAAACATATTTAAAATGTGTAAAAATACCGTCAGATACTATAAAACTGTATCATTTTCAATGACATAGTTCAGAGATGGCACGTTCCTCAGACCCTCCCCCCATTATTGCTCTCCACTCATTCCCTTTTTCACAAAAGTAGCACCCCTTTTATAGATTTCTGCCTACACTTCTGTTAGTTAAACTTAATATTTTATGACACATAGCGGCTTTATGTAAATGTGTTTAATTACTTTTGCAATGAAAAGAAGTGTTCACGTTACTCAACAGCTACTTATATAAAAATATGCCCGACTTTAGCGGCTGGGCAACTGTTGCCTAGGTGCGACAAAAGCGATAACTTTTATATTAATTTTACTTTCAGCTATGTCGCACACTTTACATCACCTGTCGCCTCTTACCTGGAGACTAAAGACATAGCCACTGTAAAATAATCAACGTGGAGACTGTAGACACAGCCACTGTAAAATAATCAACCCGGAGACAAATTACCAGGACTCTCTACAACCAAAAGTCATCACATAAATATGCATGAAGGCTTACAGAGATTAGGTTTTATAAAAATTGTTTTTTCAAGACAGGTTAGAATAAAATACATTTCAGCAATAGGAAGTGTAGAACAAATCATAGAACAGAGTTTGAGAGTATAGTAAATACCTTTAAGCCTATTGAAACATCCAGGTAAACACTGTTAGGCCTGTATGAAATATCCAAATAAATATTATTAGGCCCATCTGAAACATCCAAGTAAGCATTGTTAGGCCTATATGAAACACCCAAGTAAACACTACTAGGCCTATCTGAAACATACTAATACACAAATATATTAAGTTCCAACAACTACTTCTTTGAAGTTATGTAACCCTTCCACGTGCCCCTTATTAATTGCGAATCTTTCTTCCCCTCACTAAAGTCGTGATGAGTAAAAAACATAATTATAAATGTTTCGTTTCAGTTTTTATGACGAAATTTATTAACATAAATACATCGGTATTTTATAAACACTCTGTTAGCGAAGTTTCTAAAATGTTCTGTGCAAATTAGAGTCATCATAACAGTGAATATTATTTTACATTTCTATTCATTTGAAACTCAAGTACTAAGAGATAACCCAGAAATGAGGTTAGTGTTTAGAGGTTAAGTTGGGGATTTCAAATTTCGAATTCACTACTTACCTTCTGACCTATTTTGACCTAAGTAGCCATTGTCGTTTTCGAGAGTAAATAGCGCAAGTAGTAGACCACCTTGACCTTTAATAGTAAAAGTTTGTTCGAAATCTAGTCTATCTGATGCTTATATCTATAGAAGATGTGTTCTACTTTTACTTCATTTATATAAGCACAGAGTAAATGTAAATTAATAACCATCTCTGAAATTAAAATCACTTGAGAAGTCCACGCAATTAGCTAACATTTTATATTACATTATATGATATTTTATATTTTAATTAAGTAACAACGTATTTCAATAAAGTATAATATTTTCAGAAGATAAAACTAATCAAAGGTGCATCCGTTTAACTACTACTTCCCAAATGGCAGTGTTTGTTTACCAAAATATTTTATCTTTAATAACGAGAGAAAAAAAGAACTATACATTTCAAAAATGCACGAAGGCGAATTGTGATAGATTTGAAAAATGAAACAAAAACGTTCTTCATGTGAATCAACCGGTTTCGAATTTACGTGTTAAGTAACTCTGTTGGCTCTAATCTAATTTACATTTTAAGTAACTACTGATTTTATAGTAGGCTTAACAAGAATCTTATCAGTATTTTTGCTGTGAAAATTCTTAAGAAGAGTCTCTGATCCCAAAATTTGTCAGTTATTATAAGATAAGATTTTAATGACGAAAGCTTTGATTTTTTGTAGGCCTAAAATTATAAATTTCTGTTTAACAAGTGCGATTACCGAGAAAGAACAAAAATTGTTGTCAAACAATTTTATCTTGTGCAAAACAATTTAAGCAAGCTGTAATTAGAACACGAGTCGGGTATAATTTCTTATACAGTAATACAATAGCTTCAACAATGAAGCGTATAATACAAATATCATTTACGTTTTAGACATTGAACATTTAACATTGAGTTTATAAACTAATTCTAGGGGTAACAAGCCCAATAATCCATTACATACGTGTGTGTTTGTGTAAAACCTTCATTTTTCGATTTATATTTATTTATATGCTAAGTATTATAAATCACGAAAACAAAAATCAATAAAGCACGAGAATCAAATGACAAACAGTATCTCGATAATTTAAACCCAGTATTACTTTAATAATCTTTTTTTTTGTAAACACGGCAAAGAACTTATATTTTGTTTTGAAGAATCTCTCAAAAATATTAGCGTATATCAAACATGTATAAATAAAGCTGTAATATAAATTATCAAATTTAATTTATTTACATGTTATTTATGACACTAATATATCAGGCCACAATCTTTCTAATATGTGCACAATAACATAGCGAGGGTTTGTTGCGCTCGGGGGCCAAAGGTCCAAAGTGCACCCCCTCATGGTGAATCTGAAACAAACAAAAAACAGAGAACGTTTTGATATGACCAACACAAACAGCTTACATATCCACTTCTCTTGCCTATTTTTTTTTTTTTTTTTTTTTGCGCAAACTCATTTATAATGCCATCTAGTTAATGCTTTTTAGGGTTTCCCTTTCCACACTACATACTGCCAGGTCACA